ACAATCGTAATGCACGAAGAAAGAACAGGACGCCCATCAACCTCCACCACTGGCGGGAAGATTCAGCAAGATCGAGAGATGAGAATGGCGGACCGGTAAGTCATCATCGATGAAGTTGCATATTCTCTACCAATTCTGATCAGTGGTTCGTTATACTAATTTGCACAGAAATACCTTTGAGAAAAGTATGAATCCAACTCTTCTCCCACAAGCTATGGGTTCATTAGTAGGTTTTATATCGGTAAGTCATTATTTTTAAAGGATTCTTACAATCTATAAATATTTTCTGGTTTTAGATAAACGGCATAAAGGTTTATAAGCCGTAAAAACAAAACAAATAATCTATATACCGTCAGTTTCGTTCATTTTCTATCAACATGGAAAGACAAACAGTCCTGACATACATTTTTTTCTCATGATAATACATCGCCTTCGCGCTAAGAAGACTAAAGGACGTTTTGGTACGTACTAAAGCAGCAGAGAGAATGACTTAAAATCCCATAAACAAGGTAATACTGTGAGGTATGTCTTTAACTACACATGGCTTTCAGTTGTACTCATTTTCTTTTTCTCTGAGCCGCATTTTCGGAATTAAAATTTCCTCGTACCTCGCCAAATTTTATCCGATAAAAAATACATATTGAAAAAAAAAGCAGAGAGGTTTAAAAGGAGGTAATCGCGGATTCGAAGACTGAACATTATTATTGATAGGGCTATCATCCAATTAGCGGACGCTAGTTACTACATATTTAATACTTGATATAATATAAAAATATCACGATGATAAATTCGGTCAATAAATATTTATAACTATACTGGGACTCATGCATGCAATTGCAAGTAATCCATAATAATATTTTAAATTGTGAAACCATATTTATTTTTGGCATATGAATTTTTATGAAACTGCTTCTAAATCTTTGTCTTTCAATCATTCAGCCTCACCTGCTATCCACTTCTAGCGCACCTATGAGGTGCGCCGAACCGTTTTGGGGACCACCGAGAAGGTCACTACACAAACTGTTTAGCTATAAAACCTACAGAAACTTTCTTCCAATAATCTGGTCATTCATATCATTGAAAGGTCGTTTTTAATGGTCGGCTTTCCGAATGCCATGACATCAACGCATGTCTTCGACAAGGTTCTCTACACTGCCCTTCCATCTGTTTTATATTAACGATCTACCGAAGAAAATTATCAGATCGTGTGTAAATATTAGGTTGGTGCAAAAATAATGACGTAATAATGTCGTTTTTTGACGTATTTTTTAAGGTAAAAAAAACGACATTATTACGTCATTATTTTTGTACCAACCTAATATCTATGCAACGGATACCACAGATTATGGGAGCATCACCAATTATCTACATGCACAGATATTGGCATATGATCTCTCATCTGACCCAGCTCTATCAGCCCAGCGAAGGAAAAAAATGGCTTTCAGTTCAGCAATTTTAAGTCTTCCCTCGAAATAAACTAGTAAATTTAGATTAGCAAGCTGACACTGAATGATCACCAGCCACAATGAAATGTTTCACTTTCAAAGAGGCTCCTTGCTTTTAGCCTCTATTTGAAATCTTTACCGCAGACATCAGTGTGATAACATATATACGATGACTCACTAAAGACACTGGAAAAAAACTGTCGGCTCCTTATCTAGAAGGTAACTGACCCCGCTTGCCAATTTACATCTTTAAGAGACAAACTAGACGAAAAATTAAGAATCACTGTCCAGTCTGGGCCGGAACTACCTATTTCCAGTCTCGACAGAGTTTAGAAGCGTTTACCGGGCTTTTTAGGGTGATGAATTATTTTCCATCCCACCACTTCTTTCTCACAGATGCATCTTTGAAAAATCAGTTGATACTCTATCGGTATTTCGATGGAAAAAAAGTTCTGACGGGCTTCCTACCTTAGTAACACCCGTTCATATCTTTCCAGCTACGACCCTATGTATACAAACCGAACAATCTTAATTCCCTTTTATCGCATTGGCAAGAAGGACATTTCATTCGGGAAGCTTTTTTTAATTTTCCAAGAGACTCCGCTTTTTGGAACAGATCCCGGAGATGTTTCTACGAGTCCTACAACCTTAACCTCTTCAAATCCACATTCATAACACATGATCTCATAATCTACAATTATTACCTCCAAAAAATATCACTATTTAGTAAGATCAACATTGAGTGGCTCTTGGGTTCTTTTACTAAGTGAAAAAAAAGCGTAAGGGATACATTTTAAGCGATACATACCTTTATGTTTTGCATATCACTGCATACGATGAAAATTATCGAATAAAAACAATGTCAAAATCTGGCCAAATATCATCTTTTTTTTTATCGCTTATTGTTTGGACCGATAACAATTTCAACATTAATCAGCGTATATATGAACAAGAATCAAAAATTAGAGATGGGGTTAGGAAGATTCTATTGCGCCATCTTCAAAAACAGAGTAAAACGAATGTTCCATTGGCGTTTTTCCAATGTGTGTTTGTTATTGTAACTTATTCTCTGGAGAAATATTTGCGTCCATATGTAATCTTCCACAATTATTTTTCAGCGTTTGATAAAAGTCAGTTGAACGTAAAAATTTACATGACAAGCACATCAATTTGCTGATCCATTCTGTGAGTAATAACCAAAGAAGATATACTGATAAGATATGATTGTATTGCACTAAATCTCTATATGGTTAGACCTAGCTTAGACTGGATGTCCACATAGCATAGTGGATATTGGCATTTTGCATCGGTGAGTCGAACTGGAATTACGTTGCTTTAACTTTTTGAAATTTTTGTAAAGATATCAGTCTGGCATTTCTTCGCTTCACCTATGAGCTAAATCTCATATCTACCTAAAACCCGTGTCTTCATTTAAAATTTACGTCACTATTGAAAGAATATGGCTCCATCAAAACTTATCCAAACAAGTACATCTTTTTAAAACTGTGTCACTGAATAAATCTGTGCCACTATTTTAAACGTGAATAAAAATCCCGATTCTCCAAAAAGGTAAGAATTATTCTTAATCTTGTATTTCAAATATTCTAGAAATATATTTGCTTATAGCTCCAAAGATTGTTTGCTTGATAAAAATTCTTCCAGGTTGGCCTACTTTTAATTATCTATTTTTTAAAAAACTTACCGGCGCTTGATTTATAAAACAGATACGCTAATACCATCATCTAGATTTAAGTTTCCCCTGGCGCAGATTCATGGACTCTAGTTGGATTATCTGTCATTAGAGAATAAAGAAAAAGAAACATATAATGACAAGCTCGGCTTTAGAGCAAATTCGTTTAATTCTTTAGCAGTTATATTTAGTACTATCAATTTGTGATTTTTAAAAAGCAACAAGGAAAAAAAGTGATTTCATATGGAGTGGAGATACTAACTTCACGCCACGTTTCTTTTCACTTCGTGGCTGAATGACAGGGTGGTTTCCCCTACAAATATGGATCCAGGTTCGAACCCTAACTACTTACCGTGTTAAAAAAAAAAATACACGAAACGACTTGCGCAACAACTAAAGTCGTGTTCATATGGTCCACGGGGACGTTTGTACTTCATCCGACTGATCGACATGACAGTCTTCTTTTTCTATGAACCGTAACCCTTCAGGGCGTGTGCGAAAAAATGCTTTCCACGGTGTCTTCTTTTTGTAGCACTAATTTTGTCTTTATTCTATCTCTCTTAATCACTGTTCTGCCAACCATTTACACAAGCTCGTTTAGTCACAGCTTTTCCTAATCCTTTTTGTTTTCATGTCATGTGAGCGCGAAATTGTTCAAACCTTCTTTCTCAATTATCTGTACCTGACAGAAAATAAATAAATATGGATCACTTACTGAACTGTTTTTGGTTAGGACACTAACGTCTTGCTGAATTTATATTTTATATTATCATCAATCTCACCTGACAGGCAGGTTAACATATTTAAAAGTATGTTGTGTAAAAAGATTATCCCGTTAAAATATAAGCTGTTGGAGATGTAGACGTGTATTTAACATTTTGTTTGCATAGTAAAAAAAAGCTTTCTGGGTTTAATTGCAAAGAAGTGCATTTTATTTACCATGGAGAATGGCAAACATCATTAATCCATATTCAATATTTTTGGTAATTTATTACAAAATTATATAAATTAATGAAAGTTTCCCGTGAAATCAATAAACTAGGGATATATAAGATTTACACAACCGATGAATCATCCATCAAAACATATATATATACATTAGTTAAACCTAGAGAGCCAGACAAACCTATCAAGGTTTCACCTAATTGTCATGGAAAGCAGTCTTCCCTGAAGATCCGCTTAGGTGAAACCTTGGTAGGTTTGTCTGGCTCTCTAGGTTTAACTAGGTCTGCTCTACTTACTGTATTGAGCACTTTATTTAGTTATTTTGCTTACTCGTATCGGGTTTTTTTTCTTTGGACTTGCATGCTAGACGATTATTTTCGGCTGACGTACATGTTCTTTGATCTTTCTGTTTTATACCTATTTTTCACTTTGGTATTGGTATTTTCAAATCAAGACACTAAAGGTTTTCCGGATGAGTATAATTTCTTATGCCTATAAGATTATTACTACTATTAATATATATATATATATATATATATATATTGTTACGAACCCCGAACTAAATTCGTTATAAAAAATATACCTTTGCTTATATTTGAGAAGCATTCTAAAATAAAGAGCCCAGTAGTTGCAGAAAATGTAAAGATAGTAAACCCAAAGAGATAGGTAGACTTAGTGGCGACAATGATTGACCAGAGTGTACCCTTTTCTTCTCTTTTGGTCAAGGTGTTGACAGCATGATTTACACGGATAGATTCCGCCTGGGAGAAGTTGAAACACTCTAAACTAAACTTTCTCTGACCCTGAAGATGAGAGAGAGGGTCGATGACCTCATTCCACCCATAATGGGAAAAAGTTAGTATTTTAAAAATTGACCACGTGACAAGAAGAAAACGGAAGCGAATAGTGAAACGGAAAAGTTAGTCTTGACCGGGCTTGCGGGCCGGTAGGACGTCTGTCAAATGTCTCGGCATATGGGCCGAAAAGATGTGTTTGCGAAATTGTGAGGAGAATTCGTCCCCGAGTCGAATGGATGGACCCGTTTGACGACGTATGTGGAACGTCGCTATATCGAAGAGAAAGAAAGCAGTTTCAACTGTCACCAAGCCCTTAAACAAAGCACGAGAGGAAAAAAGAAAGAAAGAAAGAAAGAACAGACCATCTCGAGCGAGAATGCTGTCATACCAAGACGAAAGAGAGAGGGGACGCATTTTCTGCTTAATCGTCAGCCAAGCCCCTAGACGACGAATAGAGAAAGAGAGGAAGTAAAAGACCTCAAAAAGAGACCCTTATAAAAAGAAATAGAGAAGGAAAAATAAATAGAGAAGAAGTAGATATAATAAGAGACATTATTAGTGGAAAAGACTTTATTCTGAGTTAAGTTTGTTATTTTTCTTGTGCTCCGTTTTTGCTTAAATGTACCTCTTTTTCATGTTTGTACTTTCATGCAAATTTAGCATGAAATCTTTTATTAAATGTTCCTTTCCACATTGACTTAAAATGTTGATGTTTTGTGAATCCGTGCAGGGACAGTACAGTTAGTGACGGTATGGCACAAGGCCATACGCTGATTTTTATTTTACCTTTCTTAGAGGATGTTCTCTCCCTACTATTTTGTCCACAAATTTTAAATGTTTACTCTTGACATATCGTCATTTTTGTTTTGGCCGTTTTTCTATTTTATCTTTTCCACAATTCCATGTTTGTTTATAAATTTATATTTCCTGTCTCCATTCTTGTTTGTCGCCTATCGTGTTTGTTCCTTAATCGATTCCGCCCGGCTGTGTCTGATCAATTGGAAAGAGACCCTTGGGAAAGAAATATATTTTACAAAAAAAAAAAAAAAAAGTTAAATGTTAAAAAACAAAATAGCACAGATTATGATCCTCCTCTACGTTCGCTATCGATAAAATTGGAGAAAGGAGAGGGGCGTTCGTAAGAATATATATATATATATATATATATATATATATATTTCCGTTTTAGTCTTAATGATATAGATTGCAGTGAATGTAGAAGGTGGAAGTAACAGCCTCAGGTTACACAAAGGAGACACTAAGGAGATATATATCTATAGAATATCAGTAAAGAGATTTCAAAAATATCTTTTTTGATTGGAGAGAACTCAAGGGGACAGGGACCCAAGGAATTTATAAAATAATAGAACGAAGGAGACGTAATTAAAATGAAAATTCGATTTCAATACGTCACCATGCAAGTTATATATTATTAATGTGTTCTTTAGAGGATAAGAGTTCTCAGTATAGGAGACAGACCGTTCATAGATATAGACTGCTGTGTATAGAGAGCAACACTTCATGGTGGATATGATATCCAAGCATTAATAAAGTTTGCACTAAGGCGTGTGCATTGAATACTATCAGTTGTGAAGAGTGAAGACTCTCAATCGTGAAACTGACAATCACTATAGAGTGTTGATGCCTATATCGAAAGTATATCTATCTATCTCTCTCTATATATATATATTAAAAGTATACTTTATCATACACATACACACACACACACATGCATGAAAAATTTAATTTTAATTATGCTTTATTTATGGAATAAAGTGCTCGGTATGAAGAATGGAGCGTATCTAGATATAAAAGTGGATATTGAAGTCAGCACATAGAGTCGACAATCTATTTTATGCTGACGATTGCGTTTAGGCCTAAGGATTGAGTTTGTTTGTTTTATATATATATATATATATATATATATATATATATATGTGTGTGTTTGTTTTATATATATATATATATATGTTTGTGTATATATATATATATATATATTATGTTTTTGTGTGTATATATATATATATATATATATATATATATGTTTTTGTGTATATATATATATTTGTGTGTATATATATATATATATATATGTTTGTGTATATGTATATATATATATAATTTTATGAAATGGACAAAGTCCGACAATTAATATAAGACACTTTAAGACATATAAAAAAGTATAAACATAAAACGTCTTATAAATATATATATAAATATATATATATATATATATATATATATATATATATAATTATAGACGACTGATAATGTATTGAGATTAAGCCTTATTTTTTTTTAAATTTTAGTGTGTTCGTCTAAGTGTTTTCTTTTCCGGAGAGAAAGTGTTTAAAAATTGTCCAAATATTTTGCATATCCGAGCGCTGTCGGCTATTCTTTTAGCCACTGTAAAGGGCGATTTTTGTTTTTATATCATTTTATTTATTTATTTATTGTATTAACTGAATATGTGGGATTTTATGTGTGTGCCTAGAGTTATAGGAATGTTTTATTTTGCAGTCACGTACAACCGAAAGCGCTCGGAGATGCAGCACATTTGAACACATTTACACACTTTATACCCAGAAAACAAATTATCATATCTTACTCAAAACAGGAGGTCGTACTATACACAGTAATTTGCTTTGAAGAAATCTTAAAAATCATACATTTTCGGTGACCAGTTGCAACATGTACAGGTAAATCTCTTTTGGACCGGTTAAAATTCAAGCAAAAGCGGTTATACAAACACAAGAAAAATTAAATAAAATTCTCAGTTGCCTTTAATGAAACATGTATAAAAGAGGGATTGCTCAAAATCACTACACATTTGCAGTCTTTTTTCGATGCATATCAAAGCATCTTATCAGACGATTCTAAATTATTGGTGAGTGAATGATTTATTTAGATTTAAAAGCGAAATACCACTTCTTTTTAGGAAAAAATAAAAAACGGGGATTATAGGTTTGTGGGATTTACGCTATCAACCAATCATATATGATCTACGTTAAATTTTAACTAATCGACGAAACAATTAAAAAAAAAAAAGCACAAATTATTTTTTATAAATGGGACATGACCCGTAGATTTGCAGCTAACGGCAGCAATAAACTAAATTCGATGCAAATGGTTACATAAATTATAAAACTAGACAATGCCGTTTCGTAAGAAATAAAAATTTAAGGTAATTTAAGGTAATTTAACAAAATGTTAAACAAGTTATATGCTTTGTGAATTTCCTACATATTTTTTATAGTTGATGAATAAATAACTTCTTTAAGAACCTAGTATATAATGTAAACGTATATTTTGCATATTAATTTACCAAATAATTTTATACGTTTAAATTATTTACTAATTTCTTAAAGAAGCTATTTATTTATCTACTATAAAAAAATATGTAGGATATTCTGGATCTCTTATCTTTAAGATATCCCTCGAGTGTCAGATTCTTCAGTCCGTCTTTCCTTATCATGTGTGCTGGATATTTTAGCTTTCATTTTCTGGTTTTATTTATCAGTTTCCTTGTCTTTCCGATTTCCATTAAAACTTACTCGTTTTTTTTTTACATTATTCGGACAATTGTCCTTATCTTTTCTGCCATATTTATCACAACGTTTCAGCTGTTGTACGCTCCGGCCATCTTCAGGAGGTTGGAATGTCGAACTGAACTTCTATTTCGCTCACTGGGGTAGTCTGTTCTAGTTCCACGTGCTATGTTTAATAGACTAGAACAGTCTAGCCCAGCGAGCGAAATAAAGGGTTCAGTTCGATATTCCAACCAATTGCAGAAGGCCGGAGCATACAACGGCCAAAACGTTGTGATAAATATGGCAATAATGATGAGGACACTAGTCCGAATAATGTAAATAGTGTACATAATACCTCATCTCAGAAATATGGAGAGATAGTATTCTCACAATTTGAGAGTAGATACCCATATCTGTGTCTTCAACTGACAGTTTTATCCGTGATAATATTGTCAACGATTGCTTTCCATAGATGACAAGGCATTGGACTTTGAATATGTGAGTAGCACTAATCAAAATGGAATAATACCGATTTGAATGAAATAGAACCATATTCTTAACAATTGGATTGGGCCGACAAATTATTTTCGTCTAAGTTGTGTAAATGGGAAAGGTTTGGAAAGGAGTCAGACTTGAAAAGTTTTTTATGTTTTGAAGTGTCTAGGAAGTGGTGAAAATTGCGTCCGTAGGGCTATATTACGTGTATTCTTAATGTGGCCGACAGAGCAAAAACAATTTAATGACTATATTTCGGATTATTAAATGAGTGTAAAAAAGTAGCTAAGAGGAACAGAGAAAGATGTATAAAAGGAAAATTGAATTACCAAAAAGTAACTGTCCATATAAAAACAACTATGAAAAATTCCAGTTTAATTCATATCGTCACAACGCATTTAATCATTCCCCAAATAGTGAACTCTGTGAAACAAATTTTACGTTTCTACCATTCCTGATGTTGTGGTAACAAGAGCTTTATCTGAGCGGTTTTCAAATATTAGTCTCCACTGAAAGCAAATGGTCACGATAGACTGTTTATTTTTAATGTCAGGCAATAATTATTTGACAAGGGAAATACGATGTAGTTTTTTAAGAGGAGCATAAATTTTGATTACTCCCACTTAAATCGGCGTCTGAAGGTAAAATAGAGTTTCATCCGAAGAACTTCCGGAATTTAATGTAAACAGTGTGGGCGTATTCATTAATACGAGTTATTTACGTTTTCGAATGTTAGTCGCAATTCTATGAGTTAAAATATTACGTTCAGTGCATTAACATCACTACATATTTTATTAAATAAATTATTCTGAAAATGAATTTTATTTCTTTCATTCGACACTCCTTTTTAGGTAACAGTTATTTTCGCATTGGATTTGCTTCAACGGTTTTTATACGTTATTTTATGGTATTCTCGGAGCTAACTCAAGGGACGCATTAAGATAAAAAGCTTAAAGTAATTCAACTTGAACCACTTAGTTGAACCACATTAATCAGTGCCACCTTTTTTGGATTTAATCCAACCTTTATTAAAATGTATATCATCATAATCGTGCCTCATTATCTTGGGTTACATATTGTCTGCAGTTTGTTAATTTATTAATAGAATGGTGAACTGCTCTGTAGTACTGTTGTGAGACCGTACCATACCTACAACAGGAACTCTTCCAGGACTATATAACACTCTGAGAGAGAGAGAGAGAGAGTGAGAGAGAATTCTAATACCGTAGTATCAGCCGCATACGACTACCAACAATGGACACAAGCACATAGTAAGCTCCGCTTACACTATCTTTGTAACCTTTTTTGTTTAATATATCTTTCTTACCTCTAATCCGTGTTCCGTGTTTTCCTTCCGTGGTCACGACTTTGGGTCCACATCAAGTACATAACCTCCTACATGGCAGCTAGTGTCTGATGCGACATAAATAGTTTTCACCAACGTATAGTGAAATATACCTTCCGCAAACAAGAGACAGGAACAAGTATTTCGGAATGAAGATGAGAGATCTGAGACCATATATAATACCTAATCCCTCATATGTGGATGCTTGAAACGACGAAGTTATGTTCTATCAACGAATATAGAGAATTCCATAAACAAAACTTGACAGACGAGCAATTTCTAAAAGAACAAAAAAAAAAAAAAACACTGAGTAATGAAATCCGACTATCAACCCAACTTATCTTGACTTCTGGAACCGACTAAGAGAATATTCTACCGACCAATGGTAAGAACATTATGAACAGAACATGTAAACAACGATCAATCAAAAAAATAAATAATTAAAGTAAATGTATTCATTTTTTTTAGTAATTCACCCAAGCAAAGCGATAATGCCATTAAAATACAATAGAATACTGTGAAAGAGTGAGAATGAAAAAAAAGAAAAAAGAAAAAAAGAAGCACCCGGAAATCCAATCCTAAACAGGAAACAAAAGATAAACCTCTACTCCTATTCATAATACCGGGAGGTTTGTGCACCGGACGATAGGAAAGAGGAATTTGATGGCCACGTCTACATTTTCTTATTGATTGACTTTTTTTACGGCTTATCAACTTTTTGAAGGTAATTTGAAACCATGACACATTTTAGATTGTTAGTATTTCTTGAAGATAGAAATGATACAAGCCGTACTATTTAATCCACAACTGGGGATATAATAAGCGGATTCATACATTTCCCAAGATCTTTTGCACGTAAGTGAATATGACGAACCCAACTGAATTTGGAAGTCGCTGCCAAATCCCAATTCCGAGCCATTATCAATTGCACCACTCGCACTGAAGCTTATAGAATCTGTCCTTCACAAGCGGTCACTCATATATGTACTAAGCAGGATCGATGTTGGATAATTTTGTGATTCAACGAACACTTGCTCTCACTTTTGTAATGTCAACGAATACAAGTTGTCACTTTCGTAATGCTCGTTGTAGTAGATACTTTGTAATCGCAGATACAACTACAGTAACGCCGTTGAACAATACTGGTGTCAGACGCCTTCGAATAGCACTCGCACTAATAGTGCTTGCTCGATAATCCTCGCTCGAATAGTAATCCATATAGTGTTCTGAATGGAGAACAGTATAACGAATAGCCATCCGTATAGTAATAGAGAATAGAGGAGAAATGGTGATCCGAATTATAAAAGAGGATAGAACAAAAAAAGCGATCAGTCTAGACGTCAAGCGAATTCCTTCATATGCATTTTCTCTATGGCCACGTGGTCTACTTAATTCGATAACGCGATCGCCTGTGTTTACTCACTGGCGATCTATATTCAAACTCAAGTGTCAGTGGCGACATTTTATTTCCATATAACAGATAATTTTGGTGATCATACGAGAACCGGTGTTTTAAATATGATAAAGCCGTAACTCTGCAATCTGTTTCTGTTATAGTGGAACACACCTATTCTATTGTTAATAGACTCTCCCACCTATAATAAGTAGGAGTCGTAGCAGTGGCTAAGGCGCTCAGTGAGTCGGTCTGAGTTCAGTCTGAAGTCGGACGACCGGCTGACCGGTTGAACTCTGCCTTCGGGCGGGGAGGAACCCGTACGAGATTACACCGAAAGGGCGGAGTCTCGTTTGGGGAGGTAAATCGTCCCTGAACCCGTTTGTACGGGTTCAATGGGCCTATTTTGGGGCCGAGCCCACGGGCTCGGAGAACCCACAATAAATAACCGACCTTGTGTCACATGCTGCCCCAGTGGGGGTGGTGACTGAATATCGTCAGTGAGTCGGTCTGAGTTCAGTCTGAAGTCGGACGACCGGCTGACCGGTTGAACACACTGCCTTTGGGCGGGGAGGAACCCGAACGAGGCTACGCCGGTGGGCGGATTCTCTTTCGGGGAGGTAAAACGACCCTGAACCCGTTTATGCGGGTTAAAAGGGCATATTTTTGGCCGAGCCCACGGGCTTGGAGATCCCACGTTAAACCGGCCTTGTGCCACATGATGCCCTCGTGGTGGGATGACTGAATACCGCTCAGTGGGCCGGGCAGTCAGTCGATGCCGGACGACAGTTAGTCGAATACTAAAGTATCAGCGACCACCACTAGATTTCTCTGCGTCATTACCTATTATATCAAGTTCCTAACGTTTTGTATGTCGAACCTTAGTACAAATACAAGGCTCCCCTGTGAAACTACTCTACAAGAGTTTCAGATACTGAACAATTTATGTATGTATTTTCGCATAAATAATAATATAAAAACAATGATATCCAATGAATACGCCATGTCTGCTTTTTTTTTTTCAAGGAATCTACGAGAAGGCTGATTATGTTTATCCGCTATCCATTACACCCCGAGCATATACAAACTTACTACACCTGGTATCCTAAAGGTACAGACCAGGCAGGATGTTGCTCATCATCGGTGATCTGACGAAAACCGATGATTGAATGCGATATGGCCGTGAGCCTGGATATACAAGAAGAATTATACTATGGATTTCATCTTTATTGGTATATTTATAAGCAGCATTAATAAAGTTTGCTTGCATTCAAATAACAGCAGTGGTTATTTGCCTTTTCTTACGTTCTTTAGAAAATTGCATTAATTTATTGCTATTTAATATATTTTGTTCAGATATAAAAGCGAATGTTATTTAAGTTTCTTGCCCCTCTTTACTTGAACTATTTCTGGACCCTGACAAAAGCGAGTGAAATGCAAAAAGAAAAAAAAAAAAAGAAAAAAAAATATGGGGTGGTGAAAGAAAAAAGGGTAGCAAATATAATGATTCTTCAGTCTGACTTTTGTTTTTATGTTGTAAATTTGACATTCACTGTCGCATTCAGAAGAAAAATCATACAATTTGCCTTTGGTAAATCGTGACTGTAAAATATCAATCTGGCTTTCACACTGCTGGAAAATAACTAATTACAATTTAATGTAAGGGAGGAACGGAACTATATTTCAACGGCGAAAATGACTTTTTAAAATGCTCAAGCAATTGACTTCTAATAGCGGAGGCCATAACGTTTTCTTTTTAAAATATCTTTGTTTATGTTGAAGTGTTTCACTTTACAAGACCCTCTTAAAAATACGCGTCTTATATACCAATTCTAAATCTTTACACGGATATATACATTATATGTGTGTGTGTTTATACATATGATATATAATTAAATGCATATATAAACACACACACACACACATATATATATATATATATATATATATATATATATATATGTATGAGAGAGAGAGAAAGACGTATGTGCACGTGTTTGTGCACACTTATATATACACCTAGTTACACATATATCTATACAACTATTTATATATATATATATACTCACATTTGCACAGACATACATATTTACAGACTCATATAATATATATATATATATATATATATATATATATATATATATATATATATATAGAGAGAGAGAGAGAGAGAGAGAGATGTGCATATGTATACATTTTACATATACATATTAAATTAAATATTAAAAAAAAGAACTTGTTTTGTTTATTTTTTTTAATAAAAAATATTATTTTATTTTCAGATTATAAATGCGTGACGATAATGATACGCTCCGGAAT